CTCTGTGGCCCTCTGAACCACCGGCTGCTTGAGGTGTCAGGGGGTACCAGAAGCCACCTCTGCTCCCAACCCCACCCCACCCCACCCCACTCATCATTTTGGGTTGTTCCTTGAAGGAAACAACCCCAGAGCTCTCCTAGAGCCGATTTACCATCTCTTGGTAAAATCCAGTGAGAAACCTGCAGTTTGGTGGAGCTTTGGGCCACACTGGGGTGGGAGAGCCCTGTTTGTGTCCTGGTTTGGGCACTCCCTGAGCAATAAAGAGGAGGAACCACGACAAGGCCAAGCTTTGTCACACACACACCAGGGTGGTTGGCACTGAACAGGCTCCCCAGGGCAGTGGGCACAGCCCCAAGGCTGCCAGAGCTGCAGGAGGGGTTGGATGATGCTCTTGGGGCTGGGGCTGTGCAGGGCTGAGGGTTGGACTGATGGTCCTTGTGGGTCCCTCCCAGCTCAGCACATTCCGTGATTCTGTGACCCAGAGCTGTGCTGGAGGGATCGACCCACTCCAGGGTGGGGCATCTGCTCTGCCTTGGTCACAGACACCCCCAGGACTGACCCTGCCCTAAACCCTCTTTGCTGAGGCCGGGAAATCACATCTGCACAAAGCCCAGCCCCAAACCCTGCGGCCTCCTTGGTCCCTCATCCCTCACCTGCCGTGTCCTTATTAACGAAGCAGATAAGGAAGCTCCGGGACGGAGAAGCTCCATAAATTTGTACCGTTATATTAATCTCATCTCCATCAGGGTGAAAACAATTGTGCACTGTGAGCTCTCCAGGCAGGCTCCAGGTTTCCAGCTGACGTTAATAGATGGATCCACGGCCTCCAGTGCGAGGTCTGTTTAATCAGCGAGGCGCTCGGAGCGACTCCGGTGCAACACCAGCCCCAACTGCTCCTGTGTCGTCATGGCAACCCCCCCCCCCCAAAAAAAAACCACAGGGAAATATTGAACCACCAGCGAATGGCATCACCAACCTCAGGGGAAGAGCCTCTGGCTCCTGTGGGGTGGTTCAGCTGGGAGGTTTTAGTGCCAAGAGCGTGAACTGGGGTTAGAACGTCCAGGAGGTGTAGGGGAAGGTGGGTGGGAATCCCACCAGGGCTCTCCTGGGGGGGAACTGGGAATGCTGGTTTGCACCTGAACGTGGTGCTGCCACCTGAGAGGAGAGCAAGAGCACATGGTTTGGTTCTGAGGGCTGAGAGGGCATTAACTTCAGCTGGAACTGGTTGATGTGTCGGAACGGGTTAATCTGTTGGAACGGGATGAGCTGGTGAAACTGGTTGATCTTTTGGGACTGGATGATCTTTAAGGTCCCTTCCAGCCCAAATCACTCCCTTGTTCTACAAAATCCTCCCAACCCAAACTCTTCTGCACCAAACAACCCCATTCCTGTGAACTTCCTGCCCAGGGAACAAAACCTTCCCTGACACAGGAATTCTGCCCCTAAATCCTCAGCAAAACCCCAGATCCCTCTGATAACTTGGGCCTTGAAGGTTCCAGCTGCTTTGTCACCTGTCACAGCAGCGAGGGCAGGATGCTCACCTGCCCCTCTCCCTCATCTCCCATGAGCAACCATCCCCAACAACCCCTGATTTATTTGTGGGTGGGAAAACCACCCTCTTGGACGGCCAAGGAAAAAGCTTGGAGGGTGGAACAGGAGGGGTTTGGTCATGGCCCCAGTTTGGACAAAATTGGGATAATTCAAGGACATCAGGGTGGTTTTTTTTGGGGGTGTCCTGTGAAGGATGAGTTGGAACCCATGGTCCTTGTGGGTCCCTTCCAGCTCAGAATATTCCATGAAATCCTGTGAAATCCACCCTTTCTGTGCCCCTCAAACCCCTGCCTGGGTGTCAAACACCCCCCAGCCCTTTGCAGACACACCAGGGCTCTGCAGCTTCATCCTTATTCCCACTGAAATGCCAACCTGGTGGTATTAATAGAGAAGAAATAGATTGGGAAGGGTGGTTTTTTTTTTTAGTTTTTGCTGGAAGGCAAATGATGATTGACATGTTTTCTTCCCTGCCAAGAAGCTGATTGATGGAGCTTTGGCTGCAGCAGCTTCTTCAGCCTCACCTGGGAGATGAAGCCACGTGGAGGGAGAGGAGCTGGAGGTACCCCAGGCAGTCAGGGTTGAGTGGGAGGAAGGATTTATTTTGGGTTATCCCAAAAACTTGCCCTTAGAAATGCCTTGGAGAGGCTTTGGTTAAAAACTGAGTAGAAAAAAACCACAGCAAGTCCGAGTGGTCTGCAAGGAAATGGGGGTTGTTTGATGGAGCCAGAGCTGAGAAAAGCAAGAAAAAAGGAGTTTTTCTCTCTGAATTGGTGCTTTCCCACCCCAAAATAAGCAGGATGGCCACTCATAATAAAATAAGCTGTGGTGGCCACAAATCCCCATTCCCCCTCCCTCTCCCTGGTTTGATTTTGCATCAAAAGTTTTTGGCAAGGAGAGGGGAATAAAATAAAATAAAATAAAAAAAAAATGGTTATTGAAATGTTGGGGCAATTTTCTTCAGTGATACAATTATTATATAATTATCCAATATTTTAATATGGAATAATGGCTGAATTATTTTCAGGATGTTTGTCCATTTCCATCCATCTCCAGGATTTTTACAGGCTGTAATTCCAGCTCCTCCAAGCAGCCCAGACCCTTTCCATCATCCTTTCTTAATTCCCTGTTCGGGAGAACTGCTGTTATTCCCTGTTTTTTAACCCTGATGGATTAAACCCAGAGCATCTCCAAGGGAATATTTCCCAGCTCAGCACTGATGGATCGGGAATTGCTGCTGAAAAATAAGATTTAGGGCTGATTTCCCCCCCCAAACACCCCTAATTTGCTCCCTCCTGCCTCCCTGAGCCCATCCTTGGATTGCCAGTGAGGTTGAAGGAGTTTTTCCATCTCCCTTCCACCACGAACCAGAGCTGTAGTTGGTCAGGAAGTTCTCCAGGTGGTGCTTTTGGGTTTATTTCACCCCCACAGCGATTTTTGGGGAGGTTTTTATCAACCACAAGGGCTCCTCCAGCCACAAAGTGATTTAAATTGGTCAGAAAGGGCTAAAAAACCCCTGGCAGGGCCGAGGTTGGGGGTGGTGCAGCTTTCCTGGCTGGTTGCACCTCAAGCCCTGGCTTTGCTTTCTGGAGGTCTCAGCCTGAGGTGTTTCTCCAAGTAAGGATTTCAAGAGAAAACCCACAATTTTTTGGTGGAAATTCCTTGTTTTCTTGCCTGAGTTGAACCCTTGGGTGGAGTCTGAGCAGTGAACTCAGGTTTTTAGGTGCCTTTTTGGGTTCCCTGCTCTGAACCCCGTGAGAAAACCCACCCAAACCCCACCCAAACCCCACCCAAACCCACTGACTGGGGGGGGCTCAGCCAACACCAGGCACTGCAAGGATGAGGAAGAGGAAGGAGATGAATCCTCCTGGGAATTTAATCCCAGTCCAACACGGGGAAATGAGAAATGGGGGAGACCTTTGGCTTTTTCCGTCCGGTTCCCAGCACCAAACAGGTTATTAAGGCATAATTAGCGTCAGGATCAGCTGGATTTCCACCTGGATTAGGGGGAGAAATTTTGGGGCAGAGGAAGAGCTGAGGGCAGCACCTCCTGTTTATGTAATTCCTGTATTAATCTCCAATTACCACCCAAAAAACACAACACAGGGAGGACTTAGGGAAGCATTAAAAAGCCCCTGAGCCTGGTGGCACCTCAGATCCCTCAGCCCACGCCACTCCACAGCTCCTATTTTTGGCTTTCCTCCTGGAATTCTTGGCTCTGGCATCTACAGGATTTTGTGTGAGGGGGGAGAAGCCCCAAAGCTGTCACTGCCAGATGGTGGGTTCTGGATAAATTGGTGGTGTCAGTGAAGCTGTTTTTCAGCTCTTAAGTCAATTATTGTCCCAGTCAGGATTCAAATCTCCAGGGTGGAAACGCTGGGAATCCTCCACAGTGGGATTATCCGATGCTGGTTGGGTTTCTTGGCATGAGGGGCTGCCAGGATGAATTTAGGGGGTGCCAAAGTAGGACCCACACACAAGGACAGCCTAAACCAGCCCCCAAAGCAGCAGTATTGGGGTTTTCCAGCCTTGATTTCCCCATTTCCAGCCTTGTTTTCCCCATTTCCAACCCTGTTTTCCCCATTTCCAGCCTTGATCTCCCCATTTCCAGCCTTGATTTTCCCATTTCCAGCCTTGATATCTCCCTTTCCTGTCTTGATTTTCCCATTTCCTTCCTTGATCTCTCCATTTCCAGCCTTGATTTTCCCATTTCCAACCTTGATTTTCCCATTTCCATCCTTGTTTTCCCCGTTCCCAGCCTTGTTTTCTCCACTTCTAACCTTGATTTCCCCACTTCCAACCTTGATTTCCCCATTTCCAACCCTGTTTTCCCCATTTCCAGCCTTGATTTCCCCATTTCTATCCTTGTTTTGCCCATTTCCAGCCTTGATTTCCCCATTTCCATCCTTGTTTTCCCCATTTCCAGCCTTGATATCTCCCTTTCCTGTCTTGGTTTCCCCATTTCCAGCCTTGATTTCCCCGTTTCCATCCATTTTTCCCCATTTCCAGCCTTGATTTCCCCCTTTCCAGCCTTGATTTCCCTGTTTCCACCCATTTTTTCCCCATTTCCAGCCTTGTTTTCCCTGTTTCCCACCCTGCACTGGGATCTACCACGGAGCCAGGATTTTGTGCTGGGGTAGAACGACCGAAGCTGTCGCTGCCACGTGGTGGGTTCTGGATAAACTGGCCTTTTTTTTTTGTGGCAGTGAAGCTGTTCCTCAGCTAAAAATCAATCAGTCAGGAATCAAATCTCTGGGATAAACCCCTGGGAATCCTCCAGAACGGGATTAGTGGTTTTTCCAGCGTGTATTTAGGAGCCGCCAAAACACAACTCCCCACACGAGGAATGTCCAAAACAGCCCCCAAAGCTGCAATATCGGGCTTTTCCAGCCTCGATTTCCCCTTTTCCATCCCTTAATTCCCCTTTTTTTCCCATATTTCCACCCTTGCAGGTACATGGCCATCATCCACCCCCTCCGACCTCGGCTCTCGGCCCAGGCCACCAAGGTGGTGATCGGGCTGATCTGGCTGCTGGCATTCCTGCTGGCATTCCCACAGGGATATTATTCCGTCATGGAAGAGCTCCCAGGACGGCTGGTGTGCCTGGTGGAGTGGCCTGAGCCCGGCACACACCTGTATGGAAAAACGTGAGTGGGGGATTGGAGGGAAGTATGGAATGGAAATGATATGGAATGGGAATATGGAATGGGAATATGAAATGGAAATTATATGGAATGGGAATATGGAATGGGAATATGGAATGGAAATATGGAATGGAAATATGGAATGGGAATATGGAATGGAAATATGGAATGGAAATAGGGAATGGAAATATGGAATGGGAATATGGAATGGGAATATGGAAGGGAAATATGGAAGGGAAGGAGGG